ATCATTTCAGTGATTTTTTTTTCCCCAGCTGTATTTGTTTCTACCCCAGGTCTCTGGGCCATCCAGCCCTGGTTCCTGGCCGTCCTGGCAGGGTCAGGTGTGGACTCCCTCTTGTGGTGTGGGTCCCAAGTGGGCCAGTCATCAGTTGGCCACTCCACAAGTCCTGTGTTACCATTACCAAAGCACATCGTGCAGGCTGCACAGTTTGTAAGTCTGAGATTTTGTGTCTGGGCTGATGTCCCATTCCCCCTGCTAGAAGGCTTATGGCATGGTTATAGGTGACCAGTTTGGGCTCTGTATCCCCCATTGCTGGGAGACTTCATTAGGATCACTCTCTTAGATTCCAGGGAGTTCGCACCACACTAGGTTTCTACATCATCCCCGAAAGCCCTCCCAAGTCCAGTCATCTCTCCCAGTACCCCGTCACTCCCACACACACAACCCCGCCTGATCCCTCTTGTTCCCATCCTCACCCACCCTCAGTACAAGGGCAAAACCTATTTGCCCTTCTCAAGAAGATCCATGCATCGTCCTCCCAGAGCCCTCCTTGTTACTTAGCCTGTCTGGGTCTCTGGATTGTAGCATGATTATCCTTTTTTTTTTTTTACAGCTTGTCTTTACATGTTTGTCTTTCTGCTTCTGGTTGACCTCACTCGGGATGATTTTTTTTTTTTTCTAGCTCTATCCATTTGCCTGCAAATATCATGATGTCATTGTTTTAACAGCTGAGTAGTATTCCATTGTGTAAATGTACCACATTTCTTTTATCCATTCTTCAGTTGAGGGACATCTAGGTTGTTTCCATGTCCTGGTTATTATGAATAAAGTAATGAACATGATTGCGTAAGTGTCCTTGTGATATGATTGTGTATCCTTTGGGTAAATACCCAAGAGTGGTATTGCTGGAGCTAGCTTGAGGTAGATCAATCCCCCAAGTTTCTGAGGAACGCCCCCCCATGTTTATTCCCAAAGTGGCTGCCAAGTTTGCACTTCCACCAGCAGTAATGAGTGTTCCCCTTTCTCCATATCCTCCCCAGCATGAGATGCCACTTGCAATTTTATTTATTTATGTAGACAGTGTTCTGCCTGCATGTGTGCCTGCAGGCCAGAAGAAAGCACCAGATCTCATAACAGATGGTTGTGAGCCATCATGTGGTTGCTGGAAATTAACTCAGGGCCTCTGGAAGAGCAGCCAGTGCTCTTAACCTCTGAGCCATCCCTCCAGCCTCTAGTTTTGTTTTTGTTTTGATATAAGATTTCACTAAATTGCCCAGCCAGGCCTTGAGTTTACATGCAACCTTCTGGCTCAGGCCTCTAAGTAGCTGGGATGATGGGCCTATCCCACCAGACCCAACCAGTATCTATCCTTGTGACGTCATTTTCCTTTCTCATCACTCTCCACAGAGGCAGAGTGAAGATGTGAGGCCCAGCGTTGTTAAACATCAAGTGATAAAGACATTTGAGGGTCAGTGCGTAGTTCAACTGCCATCAGAGAGGCTTCATTCCACTGATAAAAACAGATGCAGAGGCCAGGTGTTGGTGGTGCTCCCTTTAATTCCAGCACTCAGGAGGCAGAGGCAGGTGGATTTAGGAACAATCTTGGAAGTGTCCGGTGAGCCTCTGGACCTTGCACGCATAGATAGCACCAGGGAAACCTGGAATGCTAAGCATGCAGGGTTTGTCTTTTCAAGGGAAAGATGTATAACCTGTTCTCTGCCCAGAAAGCTGGGAATGGAGGTGGCCAAAAGCCTAGGTGTCCTTGGGCTTTTGGTAGGACCAGGCCATATCAAGCTCTCATGAGCAGGGCTGGAGGCAGCTAATAGTCTAGATTACCTCTGTGTTACCTGGTATGGCAGGGGCTTCCCCATCCAGGTTCAGAGGTGGCTAACAACCCAGATGGCCTCCACACTATCTGCACGACCAAGGCCATATCAGATCCTCCTCTAGGTCTTTAATACAGGCAGCCTATGTCTAGACCCTATCATCATGGAGGAAATGACGTACTTTGAGAAGAGTTTGAAGGTAATCATGCCTGCTTGTGCAGAGGGGTTTGTGTTATACCAGGGAACTTTTTTTTTTCATATTGCACTCTACTTAAAGATGCCTAAAATAAACTTCCCAGGGTCAGATTATAGAAGCTTGAACCAACAGCAGCTGCTGAGTTGAACTGGATTTCCTTGTTTCACATTACTCTGCTGACCATGGTGTTTGCAGAGACCCCTGCCGGCCTCAAATATGCAGGGTACACACACATCTGTACATGTGAACACACATACACACGTGTATGCACACCACATGCATACTCATAAAAAGAAAGGTTATATATATAAAAAAAAAAGCACTTACTACGAAGCCTGATAACCTGAGTTCCAAACAGTGGAAGGGAAAAAGGGCACCCCTGCAGTTGTCCTTTGATCTCCACTTGAGGTCAAATATGCTACGCAGTCAAGAATGAGTTGAACTTTTGATCCTCTGTCTCCACCTCCCAAGTGTTGAGGTTATATTTGCACTATCATGCCAAATTAATGCAGTGCTGGAGATTGCACTACACTACCATGCCAAGTTAATGCACAGTGCTAGAGATTGCACCACACTATCATGCCAAATGAATGCACAGTGCTGGAGATTGCACCACACTATCATGCCAAATGAATGCACAGTGCTGGAGATTGCACCACACTATCATGCCAAATGAATGCACAGTGCTGGAGATTACACCACACTATCATGCCAAGTTAATGCACAGTGCTGGAGATTGCACCACACTACCATGCCAAGTTAATGCACAGTGCTGGAGATTGCACCACACTATCATGCCAAATGAATGCACAGTGCTGGAGATTGCACCACACTACCATGCCAAGTTAATGCACAGTGCTGGAGATTGCACCACACTACCATGCCAAGTTAATGCACAGTGCTGGAGATTGCACCACACTATCATGCCAAATGAATGCACAGTGCTGGAGATTGCACCACACTACCATGCCAAGTTAATGCACAGTGCTGGAGATTGCACCACACTACCATGCCAAGTTAATGCACAGTGCTGGAGATTGCACCACACCGTGCTGCATCCCCAGCCCAACTTCAGTCTTTTCAAACAGGGTCTAACAAAGTATCCCAGGCTGCCCTGAACTCACTATGAGAGCCAGGCTGGAGTCCAACTCCTGATCCTCTGGCTTCAGCTGTTCATCACACACAGCAACTTTTGTGGCATAATAATGACAGTAATAACTTCACCCCGGGAGCTGATGGCATGTCATGGGTGTAGAGTCATGCTTCTGCTACAGTGGTCACTAAAAGTACACTACGGACAAAGTAGTGGAGTCATGTGCTTGTCCTCATCGTGTGTTCTGACACAGAAGCCCAGACGTGGGAAGTGGCTTGCCAAATCTGCACTGCTGATGAGGGCCATCCCTGAGCTCTTACTTCCTACTCTTCCTACTCTACACGCATTTATTGTTACCTGTCCTCTCCAAGGTCCCTTTATCCCCACTTCTGACACTGCGGGCTGTGTTCCCTAAAAAAGCTGTCTTGCTGAGGATGGGGCTCAACAGTGGCGTGCTCACCTAGCACACACAAAGCCCCCGATTCCTTTCCAATGCTACACAAATGTACACATGCATAATTCTAGCACTTGAGCGGTGGAGGCAGTGGCACTGGACATTCTAGGCCATCTTCAGCTACATAATGAGTTCAAAGACTGCCTAGGCTACCAGTCAAAGGGGGTGGGTGGGACAGGTCAATAGGTTGGTAAAGTGCTTACTATATAAACACGAGGACCTGCGTTTATAATCGCACTCAGCTGACTCACTGACCACCTAGCCTATCTCCTTCAGTGAGATAATAAACACATTCTACCATGCCTGACTTTTTATGTGGGTTATAGATGTCAGTGGACTTTGATCTCTGACCCCCCCCACACACACAGTGGGGGTCTGGAAAGGGTGTGATCAGGCACCAGGCCTGCATCACAGGGATTAATCAAGGCATTTGCTTGAGGTGCTGAGGCAGGATAGCGAAGACAGCAGCATGGGTTATGCTGAAAAGACTCAGCAGTCCAGGGTGCTTAAGGGTACCTATGATAGGTTCTTTCCTGAGTTCAAGGCCAGCCTGGATTTACAAAGCGAGATCCTGTTGTCTCAAAAGTTTGGGGCTGGAGAGACAACTCATTAAGAATGAGTGTCAAAGGTCCCAGCCTTCATCATATTATGCTCATGCTGATCCATGGGGACCTCTGGCCTCCTCTGGTGTTTCCTTTGTTGTTGCTCTGAGACAGGGTCTCTCTGTGTAACAGCCCAGGCTGTCCTGGAACTCACTCTGTAGACCAGGCTGGCTTCAAACTCACAAAGATCTGCCTGTCTCTGCCTCCCCAAGCACCAGGACAACAGGCATAAGCTACCACGCCTCCTGTGTACACACCTACCACACAGATAAGCACAACTATACACAATTCGATGTCTATATGTGAATACACACACACATGTATTTAAAGACTACTTGCTGTGTAATCATGGGGGTCACAAGCCTATACCCCAGCTCTGAGGAGGGCAGACAGGATTACAGGGGCTTGTTGGCTTTGGCCCAGCTAAGGAACTGCAAGCCAGGTTCAGGGAGAGAGATCCTGTCTCAAACAGGTAGACAAGAGGGCACCAGATGCCCTCTTCTGATTTCAGTGGGACCATATAGGTATGTGTATCTGCGCACACGTGCATACCACTCACACTCAAACTTTGGTTGTCATTTTTCAAGACAGGGTTTCTCTGTGTAGCCCTGGCTATTCTGGAACTTGCTCTATAGACCAGGCTGGCCTCATGCATGCTGGGACTAAAGGCGTGTCACTACTGCCCAGCCCAAATAATCTTTAAAAGACAAAACAAAATTAAAAAAAAAAACAATGTTTGCTGTTATGACCTGGCATCATCCCTACACATTCCTCCCAAATAATGACACTGATGTTCCGACACTCGTTTTACTTAAGCAGCTAGAGCCAGATTTGGAGCAGTATGAAGGGGCAGGTGGAAAGGGAAGGCTGGCTGGGTAGAGAAAACAGGCATGGGAGGGGAAGCCAGGATAGGATGTATGAGGGGTTGGGGGCCTGGGGTCCACAATCACAAGCCGGGAAAGGCAGCTTCATCTCAGCAGTAGCTCTGAAATTCTGCCAACAGTACACCCATGTTTCAAGATTGCCAAGTATCTGCAGGCTTGACTGGAAGCATCCGCTTGCCAGGCTGGGACCCTGGGCTGCCTGAGTCCTGCATTAGTGGGTTTTGAGCCCTGGGTTCCTGAGGGCCGACAGGGCGAGGAGGAGCTGGGCTGCGTAGTAGGTGCTCATGGTCATTAGGCGGGCAAAAGGCAAGGGGCGGATGAAAGCATTCCAGGCCAGCACACCGTCTGAGATGGTGAAGAGCACACCGCCCCAGCCAGCACTCCCACCCCGGACAAGGCTGCGCCACAGCATGGAGAGCAGGGTCAGCCCGTAGGCCAACACGGGAAGGACCATGCCCGGCTCAAGGTGTGACAGGAGGAAGCTGTAGTATACCAGAGAGACCGGGATGATGTACAGCAGCGGTCCGGGCTGCAGTGGGGACAGGCCAAAAGCCCAAATGTAGAGTAAGTGGGCGGCAAAGAAGGCGGCCATGCCTGAGGGAGAGAGGGATGGGACCCAGTGAGGTTAGGGTGGGTGTCCATGGAGGCAGAAGTGGCCTCCTGCTTCTCACTGCTGTCCTGACCACCACCAGACCTAAAGGAACAATGTCCCCAGTGCGCCAGTCCTTCCCGCCATGGCCACTCAGTACTATCATATCCTACTGAGACTGTGGCGCCCCTTTTCTTGGCGGGTTTCCAATTTCTTTCCATCCTTGATTGTTCTATCAGTTCCCAGAGCAATGAGAATGACCTTAGAAGTCATACTGTGCCGCGTGCTTGCTCTGTTCATGTGCCCGGCAACTCCAAACTGTGTTCCGGGAAGCCCCGTGCCCTCATTTCACCAACCGCTCTACTCCAGCCAGACTGGCCCATTTGGACAACATAACCCTGGTCCTTTCCACACACTACTCCCATGCCCAGGATGGCTACTCTCCCCACTTACACATAGGGTGTAGTAGGGAAGTTTCTGTATATTCCTGTAACCCTAGCACTTGGGAAAGCTAAGGCAGGAGGATCCTAAGTTTGAGGCCATTCAGACCAACCTGGATGATGCAGATGGGTCAAAGACAACAACCCTGCCGTCCCCGCCCCCCACACCATCCCTCCCAACCACACCCTGACCCTAAGCCCTCAGGTGAACTGAGCCGCCTGCCGCACATCACTGCCTGCACATCACTGCCTCCCGATGGGTGTCTCAGGGTCACAGCCTGGCTCAGCCCAGTGGATTCTAGGGGAAGCTCCTTATAACCCAAAGTTGTGTCCCAGCACTGGCCAACTCCACAGGAGCCTTAGATGATTTGTCACAGTGTCCCTGCTCACCATAAAGGAAACCTCCAGGCCAGATGAGGCAGGCATCTCCCACAGCAGAACACACAAGACCTCCCTGGAGGAGCCAGGAGTAGCGTCCACCAGGGGCTACAGCCAGGAACACAACCAGGCACAGGATGGGCAGGCACTTCACCAGGGCACCGAACCAGGATGGCTGGTCCTCAGGAATCCAGAGGAGGAAGTAGAGGAAGCAGGCAAGGATGAAGGGGACCAGCCACCTGCGGACCTGTGGGTGCTTCGGGAGAGGGAAGCGGCTCAGCCTCCCACACTCAAACCAGTCCTCAGCAAGGATGATGGGAAATGTTTATGAGGCCAGTACTTAGGAGATGGAAACAGGACGATGCTGGCCTCAAGACCAGTCTGATACATAGCGGGGGGGGGGGGGGGGGCTTATTTCAACCCCTGCCCCCCCCCACACCACCCTCGTGCCAGGACCCAAGGTGTGTCCAGGTTGGACTTCAGGGACCGGGATCCTCAGCCACTTTGGTAATCTTCTCACTAAGGACAAGTACTTTAGAACCCAGACTCCTGGAAGGAAAGGGGAACCCAACCAACGCACCACATGGGACTCACAGGCCCTAGGGCCGCCACATTCCCAGGTCGGAACCCACCCGTCCTCATAGGCTCTCACTTGGTCTGAGAAGAGCGTCTTCAGAAGCGGCCCCTCTTTTCTAGTATCCATGCCGAGTGGTGTCTATTTAGGAACCAGTGGCTTCAGAGGGCACAGGGGAAGTCTTTTAAGGTTACACATTAATCCAAGTGTCCTGTGGACTCTGGGACTGATAACAGGGCTCACCCAAGGCCTGTTCTTCTCTGGTACTTGCTGATAAAGTGCCCATCAAGACTCAAGGGTCCCTCCACCCCTCACAGCCCCTCCCCCAGCATATAGAAACCTGGCCACCTCCCCCTACAGGCCAGCACGGGTGGCCTCCCTCCCACTCCCCCTACAGGCCAGCACGGGTGGCCCCCCCTCCATTGTCTGGTACCCAGCCAATCAGAAGGGACAACGCAGGGTTCCACAGAAGGCTTCCTACTCCCACAGCCAACCCTGAAGAACGGCAGGCAGGAAAGATTCCAGAGAGGAACCTGCCTTGTGCTTGATGTCACTCAAACACATCTCTTACAAAGGTGACCACTCCACTGTACGGCACTGTTCTGCAGCCCTTCCCATGTAGAAGACAGGTGCCTCCCGGGTGCCAAGTGCCCTGCTCACTACTAGGTCCCTGTATAGGGGACACTTCATTGCATGCCTACTGCCTGCCTCCTATCCCGCCTTTTTGTTTTGGTTTTCCAAGACAGGGTTTCTCTGGATAGCCTGGGACTCCCTTTGTAGACAAGGCTATACAGATCTCCAACTCATGTAGATCCGCCTGCTTCTGCCTCCTGAGTGCTGGGACTAAAGGCCTGCGCCACCATGCCCTGCGCTTCCTATCCCCTTAATGGCAGAAAGCCCAGCTCCAAGGTCCAGGGACCTCTTGCTCTTCCTAGCAGGTCTCAGCTAAAGGAGAGGGAGGGGGCTGTGAGCTCAACACAGGTAGGACTCAACACAGCCCCCGCCCTGATCTGCATTTCAAAGCAGGGCGTGCATGTCATGATGAGAGGATCCCAACGTGCTAACTCAACAAGGCTGGTGCCCTTTCACAAATGTTCTGCCTGGTGAGCATAATATGCACACACGCATGCACGCGCACACTCACTCATTTACCCACCAGCGCTGTCCCAAGAGAACACAGTTCTCTCTAGGCCATGTGGAGCAAGCAGATCCACCCAACCCTGAGTCCCAGAGCTCAAGGTCTGACACCAGGGTTCTTCAGCTGTCTTCCTTTATTTGTATTTGCAGTATGAAACACAAGCCCTGCACACATACTTGCACACTCACACCAGCCTGGGGGAAGGAGCTGGGACAAGGCCACTTGGCAGCACTGCTGGGAACCCTCAGGGCACTGGGCACCCAGAATCCCCGGTCCTGGCGCTCTAGAGATGTTGCCAGGGAAGCCCTGCTCCCCAGGGCCAGGGGCCAGATGCCTGGTCAAAGTGCAAGGTCTGAACAAATGCATGGCCATCCGGGCCTAACGCCCTCTGTTACACCCCAAGGTGGTCCTGAGTGAAAGGCTGGGTGTAAGCATCTGCACCAGAGCCTGGGTCAGCAGCTTCAAAGCCCAGGGCCAGTCCTTGCTGGACAGACAGGAGGTTGTGCTTCAGAGCCACTGACCCAGCTATTGTGCTGGCTTCCTTTCTTACTCCTCCCTCAATATACATAAGTATATATATAATATATATAATATACCTCTCTCTCTCTCTCTCTCCTTTCTCTCTATGTGACTCTCTATCTTTATTCTAGGAGACAACGCTCCATAGTTTCTCTTCTCAGTGCAAATGGGGTGGGTGAGGGCATCTCCCTGGCGCCAGCCTCCTTTGGAGTCCAGAGGAGAGGATGCAGGATGTGGGATAATGGGGGAGAGGGCCACCAAAGGACCCATCCTGCTCCACCGCGGGATTCCAGGGGGCGGACAGAGGATTTGGCCACCACTGCCACCAGGCAGCTACCTGGAAACAGAGGGAGACACACGTGAGGGTCCAGGGACCCCATGTTGCCCACCCACACCAGGCTGTGGGCACACTCACTGGGAACCCGATGAAATGGACCCTCCTGGGGCAGAGCCATTGGGCATCTCAAGGGCCGGGGCACTGTTAGGGGAGAAAGGAGAACTGGAGGTTACTTCCTGCCCCACCAGCCTCGCCCCACCCACCCAACACATCCCAGAGAGGCTAACTCACCTCTGGCTCTGGGGAAGCCCCAAAGGCTCTGGGTTCTTTTCCCCTTCCACGGTCTGGGGGGACTGCTGGGCCTCAAAGGCTGGGACAGAGGTAGAGGGGTCTCTGGTCGCACTGTAGGAGAGACCAGTTTTGCTGTTAGACGCTCACAGACCTCTGCCTGTAAAGGCCAAGGTCTCTGCAGAATGGGCCTCGGGTGAGGGAGGGCTGGGTCACAGAGACCTCAGAACAGGGAAGCGCAGGGTGGAGCTGCAGGGTTGTGGGGCGGGGCCAGGCCTCCTGGGCCTGTGATTGAGGGCTCCCAGTGGCCATCCCCTTAGGACAGCTTGTGGTGTCCACACACACTGCTGTTTGTGGTCCCTGATCCTCCTGGAAGCCATTTTTAGTAGACTCTGGGGTCACAAGGGCCCTATGTGCCATTGTCTAAAACACTTCATTACTAAAAGGAACAGCTGGCTACAGGGGCAGAGGAGCTCAAAGTAGAGCCCAGGGCGGAGGACAACTAGGGACAAGAGGCCAACACCACTCCAGCAGGGACCTGGGCTTCCCCTAGCCCACCTCCAGCAAGCAGCGCAGATGGGACCCAATGGTCACCTGTCCAAGGAGCTGGAGGCAGAGCGCATCTCATGTAGAGTGGCCTGGACATCCGCAACACTAACCAGGGCCTGGCAGGGGGCTGTGGAAGGAGAGACGGGGCCTATCTCAGCTGCTGTCTTCACAACACATGTGGGTCTGAGGCAGAGCCCAGTGCCCTTACGAGAAATGTATGGCTTGGCTCACCCAACAGCTCTGCTACTTTGCGGCTATCTGTGACTTCCTGAGGTGCTGAGGGGGGCGTGGGGTCCTGAGACCTAGAAGGTAAGACAGGGACTTGAAGGTGTGGCTGTGGTCCACACCCACGCCTGAGAGGACTAGGACGTGGGAGTACCTCCCTGGTGAGTCATACACTGGCCATCCGTACCTGAGCTGTGGGGCACTGTGGGCTGCAGGGCTGGTCAGGATCTGGGGGGAGGACGTGTCTGTCTCCTTGGAAACTGAGGGTCCTGTTGGGACATCCATAGGCACTGGTTCAAAGGTGGCTGTCCAACTTGGGCCTGTGAGAGGTGAGAAAACATGGGCAGAGGGGAGCTTCAAGCATGTGTACCTGAGCACAAGCCACCAGACACTTACCAGGAGGCTGAGGGCCTGGGCTGGGGAAGGAGGAAGGGCTGGTCCTTCCGCAGGCGGCCTGGCCAGCCCCCTCATCCTCGTCCTCGTCCTCCTCGTCCTCGTCCTCCTCGCTGTCCGTGCTCCCTCCACTCCTGCCTCGTTAGGACAGCAACTCGTTAGGAGGCCACGCAGGGACAGCCTCCTGACCCACTTCCCCAAACACGCCAGACCAAAGGACACAGGCAGCAAAGCACCAAGGGGAGCAGAGGCCTCCACGAGTCCAGGGACCCAGGGTGTGAAGATGCTGGTGAAGCCAGCAAACAAGGGGAGTCGGAGTCACCTGTGAACAAGACTCAGCCACAACCACAACTAGAGGTGAGGTACCAGCTCTCAAGCCCCTGCTGACACCAATGTCAAACACACAGGCCTGTCCACTGTGAACCACGCCCAGAATAAAAGATTTACTTTGCGCTTTCCCTCCAGCTATAAATACCAGGAAACACTTATCTTTAGAACACCACCTCGCACCCCTGGCTGCTCTAAAAATAGTCTGAATGCTTATGACACACAGCGTGTAACCAGCAAGAAAATCCCAAAGGCCTATACACATAAAGGAGAAAGGAAGGGTTAGGGGTAACCCAAATTCAAGGGGGGGGGGATGTTATCCTATATCCTAAAGCATGTATGTAGTAAATATGTAAACAGATACAAACCTGAGTATATTTAAATGTAATATTTAAAAAAGAGACCAAGAAGGAACATTAGGTAATGAGGAAAGAGGGGATGTAGGCAAAAAGGACACGAGTCAGAAAGTTACAAAACAGCCAGGCTTAATCCCACCCAGCACTTGGGAGGCAGAGGCAGATGGATCTCTGTGAGTTCAAGGCCAGCCTGGTCTACAAAGCTACACAGAGAAATCCTGTCTTGCAAAACCAAGAAAGCAAGGAAGGAAAAAGTTGCAAATCTTTCTATTTTTGCCTAGTCTCAAATCTGTCATAGTTTGTCATGTTCGCCTCATGGCAGGCAAGTGAATTTAGTGTTCTGTGTATTGAAGTATTGAGAACCATGAAATAAAGTCAGTGACAGCAGTTAAGTGGTAAGAGCCTATGTGATGTGCCAGCGCCTCGGAATAGCCACTTACTGTACAGAAGAATTTCACTGAGATTACACAGCCAGGACTGGCCGACTTCTTAAATCAGCTGTGTAATGCTTTGATTTGTGAGTTCATTAGAAGAAAGTGAAGAAGGAAGAATGTAAGAACACAAAAAGCATAAACAAGGTGTGGTGGTACATGCCTATAATCCCAGAACTCAGGAGGATGAGAAGTTCAAGGTCACCCTCAGTTACAAAGCCATTTTACGCCAGCCTGGGCTATATGATAAAATGTCAACAAAGCAACAAAACACAAATCTCAAGGGGAGATAGAGGGAGCTCTTTAAAGAACCAGTGCTACATCTGCTTCTCTGTAAGGTAGGTAGAGCCCTACCCTTGTGTGAAACCACCCGACTAACACACAACACACTCCCATTTTCCTCATTCACTTCAGCCTCAGTCCAAGACATTCATCAACCTCTGTGCGTGAGTGTGCACTTGCACACACGCATGTTTTACGTGGACGTACATCCCTAGCAGGGGAACGTAAGAGACATGAGGGTAGAGGGAGACTCACCGGACACCAGGGGGCTGGCCTGCATGGGATACCCTCGCAGGCTGGCTGCCTTGCCAGCCACCATATTCTCCGTCAGACTCTGCTGAGCCTTGGCCCTCCTCCTCCTCCTCATCATCGAACTGCTGGATCCGGTCCTTGTAGCAGATCTCAAGCAGGTTGGCATTGGGCTGTAGTGCAGGGCAGGAGGATGTGCTGCACTGCCTGTGTGACCCCCACACCCCCACCACGGCCACCGCAGCCAGGACAGGCAGCACTCACGTTCTCATCGTCGGCGTTTAAGGAGAAGGTGATGTTGGCAGTCTTGTCAAAGGGTGCACTGGG